GTTACACCAATCCGGTCTGTAGAGCATAGAAATGCCCTTGACTACTTTTTATAGTCATATTAGACAATCTTAATGAATTTCCATTCAGAGGGAGGGCAAACCGAAACTATACCAAAGCAAAGGAAGTGCTAATAGGTTGTATTTTAAAAAAAATCAAGGCACTGGAATAGAGTTGTGTCTCTGCTTTTTAAAAATCTTTTCTAAAGTGACAGACTATCTTCAAATCTATGTTCAGTTTGCTAAATTTAGTAATAAAAAGGCGTATGTGCAATGAGTTTTTATAGGTGTAAGTTCTGAAAGTAGAAGCATATTCAGGGTTGCAATCCAATTGACAAGGAGAAGACAGCTTGAAAGAACTAGCTCTAAAATATAAACAGAAAGTGTTTTTAAAGGGATTCTTGAAGATTGTGGGGTGAGATTATTCTTGTATTTGGGTAAAACTTTAAAGCTCAGCTGTTGTCCAAAGTCTCCCTGGATGTTATGGAGGGCTGATGATCAAGCACTAAGTTTGCACAAGTAGTGATTAAAAAAAAGTAGCTTTTTGTACTCATCAGGCTTCAGTATCTTGATGATGCAGGTTCCAAGTGATATATATACTAGCAGAGTCTGCTAAACCCAAAGAAGTCTATTTTTAAGTTGTAAAATGAGAAACAGAAAGTTAGGACACTGCAAATACATATTTTCCTTTTTCTCAAATCTTCATTCTTGAGTTTTATCATATGTGGCTGGTAGCTGTATGAATGTGGGGAAAATACTGTTAAACAGTTTTTCTTTAAATCTCATACCATGCTCAGAGTATGCAAGTTACAAGTTCTTGCTCTTGTGGCCCTGCTTTGACTTGTACCCAGAAAACTTTACAATAAACTTTCTTTGTATATGTTCAAGTAATCATCTAGGGCTTGTCACGAGTTGGGTATTTTTGACTCCATTTTCTGTGCAGCTTAAAGGAGCTATATGCCCTAAGAACTGTACTTGTCCACAGTACTGGTCAGAGGTAACAACCTGAGAAGCATTTTCTTTTCTTGCTTACTGCCAGTGGGGAGATGCTGTGAACCTCTGCAGCTATTTACCCGTGTAACTGCTGGCTAAAATAAAAGTGATTCAACTGTTGGCAGTGGAGGAAGCTGCTTAAGATGTTGTTCATGTTTCTCAGAAGTAGCTAACAATGTTAACTCAGGGCATTTGTGCTCTTTTACCCATGCTCTTAAAAGTTGCAAGGTGGTGCTCTCAAGCATCACCCTCTGGAACATAACTAAAAGGGTCTTGAAAATAAGTTACAAAGGGCAAACTTCTGTTGTCTCCACTGTAGCTCCTTTGTGATTTTTCATGTCCAGACCTAAAGGCCCCTTACATCCTGGAGGGGTTTGAAGGCCTTCTTACTGTAATTACCCTAAAGACAAGGTCAGACCTCACTGACCTTGTAACAAAATAGTTCAGGTCACAGACACAGCTGGAGAGAATGTTCCTCAACTTACAGTAATTTTATTACTTTTTCTAGTGATCTCAGCCTGGTCAGTTATTTGAATAAAGTGATATACTTATTAAAATGATTTAGCAAACATAAAACTGTATACCCGTAGTCAAGGAATACTTGCTCTAGTTCACACTCAATATCATCTTTAATTTCATGGCGTAGGAAACAACTGAATAGGGATGGGTCAGTCTGGCTCACAGACATGTTTCAAAAATGTTTGCAAGATCACGTACTCGATAGCCTTCTCTGAGCCCTCTTAGAATTACAATTTTCCACTGATTGAGCCACAAAGCAACAAACAGCTAGTCCACAGATCAATAGCACATGGTATCTCAAAGCCTCAGGAAATGGCATACTCCAAGGGCAGGACACGAGGTGCAGTTTTCACAAGCAGAAGCAAACAGCACTATTAATCCCACAAAAATTCAATACTTTACATAAGAGCCTGCATCCAGGAATTGCGGTGGAGTTTGTTATAAAGTGCTTCTTAAAAACAGGAATTCATATTGACCACCCTTGCATATTGATCTCTCCTTTAGATTTTATCAAACCAAGAATATCCCTGAGTTATCAATAAAAGCAGGCTTTTCAACAAAAAAAATACAAATAAATAGGTAGCATTTATTCATTGTCAGTGAAAAGAATTATTAACTTGCTTAAAAGCTTTAAAATACCACAAAAGGGCAGTAGTTGTAAAGAGCAAAAGCTCAAGCCCTAAGAAGTAAAAAAGTTGCCACAAAGTCTGTGGTTACATCAAACCTTCAGCTGTAATGGTCTGTGAAGCGAAAGGATTTAGGTTCTGAACTAATGCAGCGGATGTTCTGCAGCTGTTTCGCTCTTCGGGCTTCTAACCTGAGCTGCCTTACTCGCTCTTTAGCTGCCAGCTCTTCGGCTCGTTTTTCTTCTCTCTTTCTTTTTAGCCATCTGTGGAAGAGGGATAAAAGACAACTAGCAATACTGACAATGAAAAACAAAACTTTCATCTCATCCCTTCAAAGGACACCCATCTCCATTCCACTAACAATTCAACTACCAGATGATCACCAGAGTCACTGTATCCTGCAGGATACAGCTTATATGCCAAGGCTAAGCCAGCCTAAGAGGTTTTCTGTCCCAAAACTCCTGGTTCTGTACCCACCTTTCCCCTCCTGCTTTTGTTGAGCCACAGACTCAAGAAAAAAGAAAAAAATAAACAAGCATGGTGTCAGATTAGTTTTTTGCCTGCTGAATGAACTGAACCAGCACAACTCTTCTCCCAAACAGGCGAAAATGGATAGGAGAGGAGCTCCCCTTTTCAGCACAAGCTAAAATCCATTAGATCGGCTCAAACCTTGACAAGTAATTTCACAACATGGGATAGACAGCACCAAGGAACTATATGTTTGCTAGGGTGTAAGCTTACAAGGGTCTAATCAAGCAGAAAGTTAGTGAGGGCTTAAGCAGTAACAATATACTGTAAAATGACTACATTCTAAATTGATTCCAATTAAGCCACATTATTCAAACAGTCTGGTTCCCTAAGAGTGACCATACTCACTCTTTAAAGGCTCTGTTGCATTCCTCTGTTCTTGGAAAAAAGGTCATGCCCTCCGCTTGGCGTCTCAAAATTTCTATCTGTTTTTCTTTTATACGTTCTCGGTGCTTCTTTTTCAGCCATAACTTGAAGGCTTCTTCTGGATTCCTGCTACTCTCCTGTTCAAATAAAAGACATACACAAAACTTACGATTAAGTGACCTTTTTATCAACAAGTTTTTGAACTTCCCCTGTGTACAACTAGGAAACATGCTTTATAAGCAAACTAGACCATATGTTAGTCTATCATGGAATGTATATGTGAACAAGCGTTCAAAGCAGTTTTGAAGAAATACTAAATCTAGTTATTTGACCCCATCACTGCAAGATCCAGGAACTACAGAATAGTGTGTCTGAATCTTAAGCTTCTGATCAAGTCACACGCATCAACCTGTCTACCAACCAGCTCCCAGGATAAGGAACAAACTTCACAGGGCTCCCTTGCTCGTTGTTCACTCCAGGGCCCAACGAAGTCATTCTACTGCTGACAGACAGTATCACTGTGTCTTCTACAAGCAATGTTATGGCTACTAAGTTCATGTATATAACTTGTATGACACAAGCCACCCCGCCAGGCAGAATAACCCTGAACATGAAAATGCATCTAGCTGTTCAGTTTCAACAATTTAACAAAAAAATATTTCTCATCAGTGTGAATTTTCATATGCTTATCTAAGCACATGGTCTAGGAATTTGTTTTGCTTTCTATTTAACCAGAGCACTATAAATCACATTTCTACATGAGAGCTCTCACTTTGCTGTTCAAGTCTTCTAGTTCCTTTGCACGTCGAATGCGCTTTTCTTCTTGTACTTGTTCTTTCTTCTTCTGTAACCAAGCTCTAAAAACCATCTCGTTCTCTCTTTTCTTCTGTTCTTCTTGTTCTCTTTTCCGTTCTTCTTCCTTGAATGAAATTAAAAGAGTGAATAAAAATCCTAATTTTTAAAATAATCTACACAGGCCTTCAACTGTCACAATAGCAGTAAGTTGTTTGAACTTTACCTGACACATAAAAAAGATGCCAGTGAAACCGAAATACTCAAAAGAATGCATCAAATATCTGCAGGAAAAAGCTGGCCTGAACACTTCTCCAGTTCAGGTTACAGTCAGATGCTTTGAGTCTGACCTTTTTTGTGTGTGTGTGTGTGTGTGTGTGTGTGTGTGCACGCACATGGGATTACCTCCATTTCCATGATTCATTTCATGTCTCAGACATTTAGGCAGAAACACCTCAAGACTTTAAAATAATATCCGTCCAACAGCTCTCAATGGCTTAAAATAGCTTAAACCAACCCATTCGGAAAACAGGAAACATCACAGGCTTGCAAGACCACTAAACCCTACAGAATTATTAGCTATCTATCTATGGACTGCAGGCACTAGTTTATAGCTAGTTATAACAAGATTATAAATAGGAGCATTTTTCTGGATGTGAGGTCGTAGTTGTGGAGGCACTAATAGCTTAATACTGCCACAGAATCCCAGAATCACTTTCCTCAGGCTTACAAAATGAATCTAGTTTTGCAAAATTAAGAAAAACTTTGCAAGTATTAATCACATTTTGACTAATGACAAATGCTTATGTATAGGTGAAAAGACTTCAAATGATGCTTCAGAAAGACATCAGAACATTTTACCAAGTTTTGATTCTCTCTGGCACAAAACTATAATCCTCATTAATTTCAACACAAAGAAATCTACTCTGCTCTCAAATAGATGATACTCATCTATATGCAACTTTCAGACTGCATTCTCCAAATTTACCACTTTTACTCTACTGGAGGAAAAAAAAAAAAAAACACAGAATCTCCCGAAATGATTCCTGCCTAGGAAATCCATAATGCAATCAATCCATATTCTCAGCAAACTTTTCAAATAAAGCAGGCTTGACCTACCTTTCTTGAGAGAAGGTAGCCTTTCAAGCTCTTTAGCTTATGTTGAAAACAACTAACTAGAATCCCAGAGAAGTGCGAATGGTTTGTCCAGAATCTGAACTGCCTACCTTGTCTTGAATGAACATTCAGGACCAGAGTGCAACCACTATTGTTTTCATGTAGAGCTTCTGATCCTGCTTTTAAAAACTAGTAGAAAATCTTCAATATCTTAAATAGCAGAACAAGTCACAGTATACACAGTAAACTACTATGGTCAGCACAACCCTGCTGTGCGGCAGTGTAGGCAGCAGAGAAGCAGTGTCATGTGCTTAGGAGGTTCCTGTGAACCGTGGGGCTGTGATGGAGCTTACACAGCAAGAGCAGTAAGTACAGTATGGCAGAGGGTGGCATATTTATGAAGGACATGTTCCAATTACATAAATATTCTGAACACAGGGCTCTGTGAAACAGAGAAGTGTGATGGTCACTGTGACCTGCCCAGTGCCTCCATATCCTTACCTCTTTCCTCAGTTTCTCCTTCCTTTGCTCTAGCTGCTTCCGCAGCTCTTTTTGCCTGGGAGAAAGGCAGTAAGTGGAATTTCTTGCAGGTGCGTTTGCAGACTGCGCTCTCTGGGGAGTCTTCCGTTTTCCCAGATTTCTCGCAGCACTGATGGCAGAATTTGGACGACATTTAGGCTTAGAAGGAGGCTTAGGGAAGTACACACACTCCTCTTCAGCAGCAGAGGAAGACTGTACTCCTGCTCCTACTACAGGAGGCGCTTCCTTCATTCGAGCAACAGTGCTACAAGAACTGTGGTGTGAAGATTTGGGAGACATATGTTGAGTCTCAATATCAGTGAAAGAAACACTGATTGGGGGCAAAAAGCCCTGGCTTTCAATATCACGTAAACTCAAGAGTTCGAACTTTCCATCTTTTTCCACTAAGATCTTCCCATCCTTCTGTTCCTCATCCTTGCCAGTATCTAGTGAAAGCAATGTGCTTTCCTTTCCCATATCATTAGAAATATGCAGCTGAGATAGCCTATTTGAAACATCATCTCCTCCTGCAAGATCAGCTTTATAAACATCTGTGTCTTCTAGAGGAGGAACCTCAAGATCTACTAATGTGTCCTTAAATTTTAATTTCCGTTCTCTATTCTCATCCACAGGAGCCTGATTCTCCAGCAGTTTGTTGGCTTCTTCAATCTTTTCCAAGATGTAGCGCTTTATTTCTTCATCCTCTTCCTCATCTAGGTCCTTTTCATCTTCGAGCTTGGACTCCTCGATAGAGCACTCACTATCAGAGTCAGATACATGGTCCCCCTCTTTAGCATCAGACGCGGATATCAAAGGTTCTTCACTGGGCAGACTCACTTTCACATCTACATTTGCCCCAGAATGCTTATCTGTATTTTCTTCTCTTTCCTCACTGTTTTCCTCATCCTCAAAGTCTTCCACAACTTTATCAGTAATTGTGTCAATATCCTCTGCATTTTGTTCAGGATTCTAAAAAAATAAAAATAACTCTCCCAGTCTATTCTCTCAACAAACAGCATTATCAGAGAAGTAGACAGAAAAGCACAAGAGAGAGAGAACAGCACAACTGATTTTACTAATGCTAAAGCAGGCTATCAGATACAGTTAATATCACAATATTAGTGCCTTTTTGGCACTAATAGCTCTTTTGCAGTTTCTCCATATTCCCATTTACACAAAGTTTAACAAACTACAGCTTGAGCTGTAAAGTCATCTGTGACAAGAGGAAAACACAGCAATGTGAAGTGCACAAACACTTAAAGGAATCCACACTAGAAGCAGAAATATTTTTGAACCAAATACATACTTTCCAATGAACAATTAATTTTCTGAGTTGAGACAACCATAACCAAAGTGACCTGTTCACTGAACTATTTTTCACTACAGTTCCAAATAACCCTCCAGGTTGGAATTTAGTGACTGTCCACATACATTTCAAACCATATTTCAAGTCACATTGAATTTTACCTTACAATTCTAAGTATCATTATGTTGGTCTTTTAAATAAAACAATTAGCATTTAATTTAACAGTACCTCTCTTTCACCAGGGTTTTCTTTTTCTTCTTCATTAATTAGCCACTCAAGGTCTTTTTCAAAGTCATCCTCATACTCTACACTTTCTGTTATATCTTCCACATCTGCTGGATCACCTTGGTCCCTCCTTTCACTCATTTTGGTGATGTATTAAAATAATACTACAAAAGAAGAAAAAGGCTCATTTTAAGACACCAGTGACATACAAAAATACAGCATTGCTATCTCTCGCAATGCCCACACAAAACCTGAGGGCAGAAGCAACATTACTATTTAAATATTGCCACCACAGAACTTCTGAATTAAGACTCACAAATGGTTCATAAACATGAATTGTTTTTACCCTACCTGCTCCAAGCTCCTTAGTGCAGACTTGAGACAAAGCAAACCCAGGTCATTTAATGTTAAGACTAGAACTCATGATCTCATGACTCGAAGTCCTGTGCTTCATTCTTCTATGTTTATTAGAAGTAGCAAAAGCTTCCATTGCTCTCAGCCCTGTCTTCCACTGTTGCTTTATGTTTGCCTGATCCACCTTCCTCTAAACAAATCATAACTTGTGCAAAGTCATATTACAAAGTTATGCGATGCATAGGCCCTAGAAGATCCCTGCTGTAGCTAATAGTATGTTAAATTAGGAGAAAGTTTCCCATCAGGAGAAGACTTTCATGAGACTCATGACAGAACCGTTTTGCTAGAATCACTGAACACTTACAAGCAGCTGGCCTTCAAATTATATTATCTGCATCAATATTAGAAGAAAAAAAAGGAAAGAAGTTTCACACAGAAAACAGTTAAGACCGCTGGAAAAAGGAATCAGTTGCAGTTTGAAATTCCAAAGAGGACAAAAGTGAGAAATATTCAACACCCAGTTATCAGGCTGGATACAGCCACATCTATGACAGAACTGGAGTCATTATTAAAAAAAAAAAAATCTTTTCTGTAATATTTGGACTGGCCAGCACACAGGTACCAATAGCTCCCGAAAAAACTGCTTAAATGCCAGTGCCTGGAGGTCCAGGCTGACTGCCTGGCCTAACACCCTCTGCCCACTTCTTTCAACTGAGGGCATCTCTCTGCATCTAAAGGCAAGAAAAGGTTAAAGACATAAAGAGAAGCACCGACTACACAGCTGGATGCTGCCCTTTCTGCAGCTTTACCACACATCCTTCCTTCCCTATTCTGTTTGTCACTGTTTGCAGATGCAACATAAAAGCGGGAAACGTGGATTATTCAGAAATTCCTCTTCTCTTTGCACCTTCTGCTGTATGCTGGGATTTGCCACCTCTCCATGTCTCTCCTACAGAATAAGTCTGTCTGATTTACAGTGCACTACAACTGTAGTGCTGAACATCAGCATATGGCAACATAATATGGGATCTAAAGATTAACCCTGACCCAGGATGGCCTGGAAAACCCAGCAATGGCTGTTGCTCCTTATGTCCTCACTGTCTGATCCACTCTGCCATTGCAGACAAGACAGGCTGCAACTGGACGTCCCACCTGTGTAAGCATTTTCAACTCCAGAATAAAAAAACTGTCTGTTTCATCACTGTTTTGTTCAAGGAAAGCGGGCAATTCTCCCTCTTCCTAACTTCCAGTTTCTTTTTAGCCACCACTTGCCACAGGAATCATCTATACACACTAGGTCTCTCCCATGTGAAACGTCCAGGGTTTGTTTGGACAAACTCTGTCTATCCACATCATTCTATCCCCAGAAATTTATCACTATTTATTTATTTATTTATTTATTTATTTATTTGAAGTTCTTTTCACGAATATGTATGTGCTGAGTGCTGTTACCTACCTAGGTCTTTAATGGAGATTACTTTGCTCCACCACATCCTCAACAAAAAGGAATGACTCCTCCTTATCTGACTTTTAATTACAGGAAGCAATTACACTCTGCAACTGCCCTCTGAAGCTGAATTGCACCCCTAACAAAACAGGTTCATGCTAGTATGTGGCATTCACCACAAATACTGAGCACAATTCACTCATTAAATATATATAGAGAGAGAAAGACAGCAGCATAAACCCAATATAACCACTGTACCATAACGCCATCATAGCCAGAGATATTTTTGGTTTAAGGACCTCAATCCAGAATACACCTTGAATTAGTTCCTATTCTATTGAGTTTCTCACACAATAAAAGTCTTGTACTTCGACGGCAGCCAAAGCTATTCAGAAAACCTTACATTTTGGTTTATACCTGCTTATATTAAATTGGCAGGGGCAGGAAGGAGGAGAAGGGGGGGGTGCAGAGATATATGTTGTCACCATGAATTCTTCTGCCAGTGTAGTAACACTTCCACTTGCCTATATGCTTATATCCACGCACACTGCGCACAGTTAGTAAAAAAAAAAAAAGAAAAAAAAGCACACTATCCTTGGCATTGTCTCTTCATACCAAATATATATATGTGTATATAAATCTGTGTATATATATATTTATACACAAGTAAGTGTGTATATATATATATATATATATATATGCATATATATATATA